CCAGCCCATAATTAAATATTCTTACAATTTAAACAGTCTTATTAAGTGCCAAGGTTTTGGGTCTTATATTTAACTTTCTTCCACTTAACTAAAAGACTTAACTACCTCACAGCTCTAAAATCAGTAGGTTACATATGCAAAAGAAAAGTTAATCCTGAGAAAAGAGGCTGCAAGTATTTTACTTCATTCATAGCTAAGTAGAAATATTATAAGTCTATGTAAATTGAGTTATGGCATGGAGTAGAGGGTGGAAACTTAGAGTCAATTGAGAGTTTTGTGCTATGCATATTTTTAGTCAACTAATCAATAAATGTTTCTCAAGTGCCAATGATACAGATCCAAAACAGAGTATATTAGGTGTTACTATCACATGGTATAACTCACCCTTAGTGAACCATGTCCTGTTTCCTGCACATCAAACTTTAATCACACACATATACACATGGAAACAGTTTACATTACAAATAGAAACATAACCTTAAATTATTTCTGCCATATTTTATTGTGCTTTTCCATGTATCCTAATCACTTAATGGTGCTACCATTTTAAGACAACTATTTTACCCATCAATATCCAGTAATGAGTATTTTAAAAATGAAACCTCCATAATTTTGGTTGGTCGATAATATAATCTTAAAAATTGGTCTCTCTAAAATTTATTAGAACAATAAGTATATCTTCAAGCAGTATCTTTAACAGTAAATATTTACACATTCTTTTTCAAAGCTTATATCCTAAACATAGAAACAGTTTACCCATGTTCTTTACAGATTCCTGTAATTGCTGGAAAAGTCTAAATGCTTCTAAGAAAACTGTAAAAAGTTAAGCCAATAAGCGATTTTTGATATGTTCTCCTAACTAAATTTTTTATTTAAAAAATGTTTCAGGGCAAACAGTAAATATTAGTTTATGTGGTATAGATTTTTGCTTCTTATGTGAATACATATACTTAGACCATTTTGTTATATCATCTTCTTCATGTAATGTTTTTTAGAGCTTAATATCTCCTACCTCCAGTTAATATGAAGAAAAATTATAGTTTTCTTTTCTATTTGATACCATTACAATAGATATCACTTGAAAAATGTAATAGAGGCCCCCAGACTTAAGCAAAGTCCGCCTTTCTTCAATAGGTATTTAGTTTGTCATGTTAAAAATAAGCAGACCTGAAAATCTGCCATACTAAACAAGGACAATTTTTTTCTAAAATGCATTCATTCACTTAATTGTTAAAATACCAGTCTGTTCTTTTAAACTAAGTTGTCTGGCAAGATACATACATATATTTAAGCCACTTATATAGGTCAGCTAATATGGGTTATGCTTTTTAAAGCATCATCTGACTAAGCACATTCTGCATTTTGCTAACAAAGTTATAGTACATAATAATATTTTAATCAACCAAAAAGAACAATAACAGATCTGAATGTTGGGCTGATAATCGTCTTATCACACCCTGTGAAACCTAGCTCTAATATTTGACGGAGCCTCCATTACTTGGCAACCCATTCTAAAAAAGGCCAACAATGGAGAGAGAATGAAGTGGAGTGTGCAGTACCTCCGTATCTACATAAAAGAGATTAGAGGCGACAGCGTTCCATTTTACAGCTCAATCATATTGTGTTAGCATGCGCTTATCCGAGCGCGGACGAAATTGAAAGAGAAATAAAAAAGAGTCAGGCAGATAGGAACCAGAAAAGCGAGGCATGAGCAATTTCCAAGGATATAAAAGGATGCTAATGGCTGGGCCCTGTCATTCTTAAAAAGGGCTATTAGGGCACCATCATCTGTTCTTGTGCCCTTATGCTCCTCCAACTAAAGTCAAGCATTTTCTAAAGCCCTTGTGATCTTTTTTCTTCTTTAGATAAAGTATGGTCATGTTTCATAACAACACACTTTCCCATTTATATGATTTATTAATGTAAGTCAACTAATTCTATTTACTGATAAAACCCCTTCCATATGTATTTTCAATATTTTCTTTTGTTGTATTCGTCACATTTTTTTGTAGCAAAAAGAAAGTGTATAAAAGTATATTAGAAGCAGCACAGAAAAGCTACTCATTTTAGATGCTAAACTTAATTTTAAATATATATATATATATATGGGTATAATTATACAAACTGAGAAGAGCATAAAGATAACAGGGGCTTGAATTTTAGTGTATTAAAAAAATGACTTCACTTTAACATAAGCTTTACAAAAACAAAGAGTTTTAAAGTTAAGACCAAAACAGATGAAATTTCAGCTCTGATTTGGCTTTAATTCTGGCTATGACCCCAGTTATCAGGACTGGTTCATGTTATCAAGAACACGAATTCACTTTTATCGAGGCAGAAATGTGGCTTTAATCTTTACTTTCTCCATGCCTTTACCTCCCTGTCTCTCACTCCATATAGTTGCGTGGTCCTCTAATGACCAACCTCCTGATCCCCGGGTAAGGCAGCGGCGCGCTTTGATACCGGAATACCCTCTCCTTCTACCTCAAGCACTGTATGGCATAGGTATTGTTAAAATTCCTTTTTGAATTTCTGTTAACTCTTGTTTTGCTAATCCCTTTCCGAAAAGCCAAGATATTCCTCGCAATCATTTAAAACACCCTCAGGGTATCATGAAAATCAGAGCTGTGAATCATCACTCCACAGTGAACTCTTCTGACATTTGCTATAGAGAGAGAATAACGTCAGTCCCCACCAATTCTAAGCCTCAGCTTAAGACCGAACCCATAATCGTATAGTAATTGTTTCCACCACTGGAAATGGTGTTACTCATAGCTATTTAAAGTTGCTATCTTTACTAAAGTTACTAGAGCCCCTTTACTGTGACAAGTCCTTTTGTAAGCTGACATTTCTACTTGGATGCATAGTCGGACCTACAAATTTATCACTGACGTTCCTTACTAGAAAGTTCAAAAGAAATTGTTGACTTTTATCGATCTCTATCATGTTTTATCAAACTGATATCAAAATATTGGCTTTACAGATCAGGGAGAACTTGAGCAGAATTCTCTGAAATAATGGGTAGTGTGGAACCACAGTGACATAGCTTTTCATGCTGTTGTTAATAACAATACTATCAACATTATCATTTTGAAGTAGTTTATTTAAATGCCATCAACTAGAGACTAAAATATCTTGATTCTCCTCCAGGAAGCCATGCTGAAGGTACTGGGTACATCTGTGAACTTGCGCTAGTGTTTTTACCTCTCTCTGCCTCAAATCTTTCTGTCTTTGAATTGAAAAAACTAATACCTGATTCCTGGGTTAGAACAATGGCTTTCAATTTGGGGGAGGAGGGTCAGGCTGGTGCGCTTTCACCTCCTGCGGGACATTTGGCAGTGTATGAAGACATTTTTGTTTCTCACAATTCAGGGGTGCTACTGGCATCTAGTGGGTAGAGGCCATGGGTGCCGCTAAACCTCCTATAGTGAGCAGGTGAGCCCCTCATGACAAAGAATTATCTTGTCCCAAATATCAATAGTGCCAAGGCTGAGAAACCCTGGGTGAGAATAATGATATTTAATATGTATATAATAATATATTAATATAAATGATGTATATCAATTATCTAAAAAAGTATGGACACTTCAACAAATGTTAGTCTTGTTTCTTTGGTCTCTCAAACCCTTCACTAACATTTTCCTTACAAATACTTTTTCATATACTGTTGAACTACATTCTGGCTGTTCCCACTGCCGTAGTCAACAATTGTTTTACATCTTGTAATAAATCCTTTCTTTTTATTTTTCTAAAAGTCATATAGATGTGATTATAATCCAACTGCAATATCAAATATCCACATGATCAAATTCTTATTCTTCCTTTAGATGTAGTAATCCTTGGGCAGGTGTCTTCTAAAGAACATACAAGCTCACCTATTTAAGTAGTTTTGACTTAATTTGGGGGGTTTTATTAGCAAACAGTGTAAGACAAAGTAGCTGGTATAATACAGAGTGATGTTTAAATTAGTTTACAATTTGCTTGGCCTCATCTAGAACTGCAACGAACAAAGCCATTCAGAAATGTCAGCTGTGTTCCTAACCACTGTAACAAATTGTCGCCTGAACGCTGCACACCTAATGACTTCAAATTAGCTTCACTGCGGTATCGCCTGACAGTTCGTTACGACTGTTAGCAACATAGCTGGCGTATCATGACCAATAAATTGGTTTCAGTGTGGGCTGGGAAAGGGACTTCCATCAATTTGATTAAAGAAATTACTGTAGCATTCAAAGCATAAAGACAAACTAGTTTAAGGAGACAGAAATAAGTTAACTGTACCAGAAAAACATTGCTCATCATTCGAAAATTTGTTTATAAACTATTTGAAAATTAAAGACCAAAGAAAAAATAATTCAAGTAGAATACTTAAATTCTCAGAACTTACAAGCATGTATGTATTGATTCATATTACAAGATGAGTCAAGAAGAAGAAGAAGAGAAATATTTTTAAATGCTAACTTTACCACATAGGAAAAGTTACCATGTGCATTTGATATTTATTTTCACAATTTATCTGTACAGTTAAGATAAATATCTAATAGTAAACCAAAGCAAAGCTTGTGACTATGACTAGCAATTGAATATAACTAGGCACTATGAGCAAAACTCATGATTCCTTGTTGAGAAAATAGTACATTAGACTGCCTCTGACAAAAACACTTTTTAAAGTGAAAAGGAAAAGGAGAAGTATTTGCTAGGAAAAAGGTAAGAATTTTAACAAAGGATAAATCATTTTTAAAATTTATAATCTCGTTAGCTTACACTGGCAGTAGTACCTGTACATATGAAAAACTAACACGAACTCAAGGTGGTACCAATATAACTAATATAAAGTTTAAGGATTCTATTAGGATACGCAAAACTCTAAATTATGATTAAAAATAAACATAAAGAATTTTTGTTAAGTCCAAATGAGAAAAATTCGAATTTGCCCAAATCTATATACATAACCTAGGGAATTAATTGCAAACTTTTCTTTTTCTTTTTAGAAAACGTACCTGGAATATGCTTTGCCCATCCAATGATAACCACCAACTCGCGGTCCGCCAAGTCACACAGTGTAGTGAGGGCTTTAATGTCACTGTCGGGGACAGTCGGGTCAGGCATGGCATAGATCTTCTCCGGTTCAGCCACCAACAAATGTGAGACAATCTTGTTATCTGTAAGATCAGAACAGAGCACTACAAGATCACTAGCAGTATCATCCCTCTTTTATAAACCCTAGAGTATTTTGTGCTTTGAAAAACAATCCAAATAGCCTACAATAAACCTTAAATATTCCAATTATGGCTTAGATGTATATATTAAACAGTGTTCAGGAAAACTCATAGCCAGACATAAGCCATTGCAGTCATGATAGAATGTAGTCGTTTTTTTCTTCTTTGCTCTACCTGCTTTTGCTGGAATGAAGCATCTGTCCTGTAGTGAAAATTTTTATAGCAAACAGATAAGAGAAGTTAGATGCTTTCTGAGTTTGTGCTTTGATTCTTAAGTGGGATTTGGGAAGTAGATTAAATGGTATACAACAGCTTACAATAAAACCCCCAGTACACCATTGAAATATAGACCATAATGCAGGAGGCAAAGAACTACTAATGCCCATAGTCATAATGGGCATGAAAGTCATTAATTGTCTTAATTCCTTTAAAGAAGAGCAAAGGTCAGAGCCCTTCTGCCTTGGTGAATTACTGACTGTATAACTCTATCTCCGTGGGATGCATTAAATAGGAATTTCTTCTTTCTCTCGCTCCCCACATATCCAGCCAACCTTCCAAATACAGCTAATATGTTTCCATAAAAATACTCCTACTTAAATGTTACAGTCATTTTCTCTTCTGTGTGTCAAATTCTTTAATGCTCTATTTTCATCTGTTGTCCTTAGTTCATTCTCTGTTCAGATTTATCTGTCTGAAATTTGTGATATATGCTTTAAAAATCCTTCACAAAATAAACACTAGAGACAAATGGAGAGCATCACATCAAATGTGTTTTATTGCTCAGGGGCATGTGAGAGTTTATGGAAGAGGCTGTAAAGCCTTGCTAACAGAATGATTTTTCTTGTTGGCCCTATTTTCAATTTCTATATGTAGCTTAAGATTTTATATTTTATTCTAAGTGAGGAGATACAAATGGGTAAGAATAAACCCATATATTTAAATGTTCTATGTACTATTACTGTAGAAACCAGGACTTTAAATGAGATTCTTGTGAACACAGCCAATGTTCCCAATGTGTTTACCAGACTCTTTGCCTTTTGCTGTAAGTTTTTAACCCAATATAAAAGACTTCACATAACTTGGAATTAGACATAGCATTCTTTTTATCTCCTTTCATGAAAGAATGAGACTTGTCCAAGCTATCGTTAGCACTTCTTCTAACATTTAAAAAATTTCTAAATATGGCTCCCATATTAATTATACTTATTTCAAATAGACAACAGATAATAGTCTATCATCATCAAATGGAATAGGCAGATTTGGGAGGAAATATTCCCCAATACTGTTTTCTAGAAAATAATTAAAAATTAAATAGAGATTAATTTTCAATTTGCAGGATCGACAGAAAATGGCTTTCTTTTAAATATGCTACAGAAACAACACCCTGTATTTTTAGTTATGCTTGGAAAAGTTTCAACTTTCATTGCTCTGACAATGCAACAAAACATGTCAGCAACCACTAGATTCTCAGGATTAGAAGCAAATACAATAGTAAAGAGCAGGAAAACATATCCAAAGGTAATCATGATTCCAGTTTTTTTTAGTACAGGGAACATAGCACTGGCTTTATCCAAGTCAATGGATACTTGACATGAGGGGTCAGAGAAATCTGGCTGAAGTTTAGAAATTCCCATCATTCAGAAAAGGAATAGCCGGCAGCACTGTTTCTAGGTAAATCTTATTTAATGTTTCCCTAATTAGAATCAATAGAACCCAATTTTCATTCCTGGGCCTTTGTAGTACACAATCAGTCAGGGTCCAGAAACCTCCCCAGCCACTTTCTCAGAAAAGCCCAAGCATAGTCTCTTGACACTTATCTGACAGGATCTGAAAATTAAGTTTTATAAATGTTTGTTACAAAAACACACTAATTGGATGGACTAAGGAAAATTAACACAGAGGCCTTTAGATAATGAGTAATGATTTATTAGGAGTCCTCTTTATCTCAGACAAATGGAGCTCACTGAAATTGCTGTAATCTTCTTAGAGGTACTTGACAAGCCACTTCCCAATTTCTCAGGTTTACGAAGAAAACTATAGACGTTTCTCTATCCTTTCAAGTTACAAATGGGGTGGCGCTCATTTTTCTTTCAGTAAAGGAAATTATCAATGGTTTCAGTCAACATTTGTATAAAATAAATGAGAAACGGGCAGTCTGTATTTTAGTGAATTCAGGAAAACTAAACCTCTAATGAAATTAAGCATTAGTGTTTATTGCATTTTATTGTATTATCAGAGAGTTTTTTTATTATAATGTGCAAAATCTGCTTAATGCAGTCCTCGATTGTATTTGCAGAATGCCAAACGGCTTATGCAGGCTGAGGAGAAGATGCCAGATTGGACAATTGAAGGTATAATCAACATAATGTTTTTTGGAAAGGCAAAAGGAAACTATGCCATATGTTCACTTAAGCTTTAATTTTATGTAAAACTGGTTGTTTTTCCTTTGACATAGCTAAAATGTCCTTTCATTTACAGTTCAGGGTCTGTTTTATTTATTTAACAGATCCCCATATGCTCACATATGTATGATGCACAGCAGTGACCCCTCCTGGAGAATCTGAATTAGAAGTAGACACCTCTTCTTTGGAGGCAGATCAAAAATTACCCATGTCTTTCCTAGAACTGCTACAGATGCATTTTCCTCTGGTGAGTGCCGGTTGTATCTTCTTAGACAAAGACAGCTAAATGTGAGAACTGTTTTCACCAAAGCACTCCTCCATGCTCAGTAGGAACCCTATTCATAAACATCCTAAAACGCTAGTTCTATTGCACTGCAACTATTAACTGATTTTCAGAAAATGGAATACTGTTATTGCCTCAATCTATAGTCCAACTCTTTTTAGTTAATGACAAAAAGAATGGGGCTTGCATTTTAGCAATGTACCAGTCATCCTTTCAACTTGCAACTTGGCCACATAAAACCATGAGCTCTTTAAAAACAATTCATATCACCCATAAGGGCATCTCAGATAGAACCAGCAACCTATGCTTGTTATTAGTAGTGCCCATTCTTGTTTTAATCTATTGCTAGCTATTGTGTTAACCTTCTGTAGCTTCAAATTAATGAGGCCCCTAATGTATTTTCATTGGGAGGTTGAGCAGTCAAACTCATTTAGTTAGTGAAAACTACAAAAATCACTTTCTTGTGAAATCTGAAACTAACAGCTCCAATGAACTAATGATCACAATATGATCCATTTTATGTACCTCTGCAAATAAAGATAACCAGTAAACGTAAAATTCACACTGTATAAGCTATGCATTAATACGCTTATGCTTCCACAAAATGACTAGGTAAAAAGAAGGCTGGAGAGAGAAAACCACCGATATCTTTAAAAGAAAAAACAAGATAATTAGCTGAGTTTCTGTTGCTCCTCACAGACAATCCTTGGGAGTAGAGCCACTGTTCTCCAACAAAGAGAAGTCTCCTTGGAGTCAGTAGGGATGGGCATGCCAAAGCTGATGTACGTAGGGCCAACTGGGAGGATTTCACGTTCTGGGAAGCCAGACACATCTGCTGTACTTACATGGCTTTTTGGCTGGCTGAACCAGCTGAGGGTTCAGGTATGGGCTGTTCTCCGCATCTATTCTGCGCTTGTACTTCTGCCGACCTCCACGTACTCTGTCAAGACGCACCCCTGTGAGCAAAAAGAGACACCAGCTTACTATTAAGGCAGCTATCTTTGAGACGAATCAAATACATAGATAGTATCCCCCAAGGGCACGTAGGTGACAAACAGTAGAATGCAGAATAGACCAGGGGTACTAATGTCAATAAGTGGTGGCTAAATCAAAATTGCCAGAAGCTGAAAACCAAATCTGCTAGCAGATGACAGACCCAAAAGACATTTTGGGCAAAGCCATCGAGGTCACTATTTGCACATCAAAGAAAAGGCTGATTTTCGTGTGGATTAAGAAGCCACTATGTGGTGGTAGTATAGTTTCTTAAAGACACTGGTATTTTGTATCCTCTTCATCAGTCAGCCCTGAAAGCTCAATGTGTAGGATCAAGTAGATCGAGAGCTATCCAACTCTCCTCCAGTCTTCCAGAGGCCTCAGTATGGACCTGTGGAACTGAGCTGAATAAAGAGCACCCCAGCACTTTGGGAGGCCGAGGTGGGCAGATCACAAAGGAGTTCAAGACCAGCCTGGCCAACATAGTGAAACCCCATCTCTACTAACACATACAAAAAAATTAGCCGGGCATGGTGGTGTGTGCCTGTAGTCCCTGATACTTGGGAGGCTGAGGCAGGAGAATCACCTGAACCCAGGAGGTAGAGGTTGCAGTGAGCTGAGATCGCACCACTGCACTCCAGCCTGCATGACAGAGTGAGACTTAATCTCAAAAAAANAAAAAAAAAAAAAAAAAAAAAAAAAAAAAAAAAAAAAGAACAACAACATGGAGGGAGGCTGGAATTATACTACAAGATTCACTCCCGCGAGATACAAGAATTGTTCCATATCAAAAGGTCAATATGTCTCTGAAGGGGAATGTTATTTACATATTGGCACAAATTTGTATTTATTCTCATATGTAAGAAAACTGAGAACAGGTATAGGCTGAATACAGAACAGAAAGAGGAGCTTCCCAGCTGGGCTCATTAGCTCACACCTTTAATCCCAGCACTTTAGGAAGCCGAGGTGGGCAGATCACCTGAGGTCACCAGTTCAAGACCAGCCTGACCAACATGGGAAAATCCCATCTCTACTAAAACTACAAAACTGGCCTAGCGTGGTGGCGCATGCCTGTAATCCCAGCTACTAGGGAGGCTGAGGCAGGAGAATCACTTGAACACGGGAGGCACAGGTTGTGGTAAGTCAAGATCGTGCCATTGCACTCCAGCCTGGGCAACGAGTGCAAAACTCCATCTCAAAAAAAATAAAGAGGAGCTTCCCAAAGAGTTCCAAAGGCCTGGATGTTGAAGGAAGGGCACATTAATAGGAGAGAACTAAAGGGTGAAACTGGAAAGTAGGCCAAAGTAGTCTGTCAGGAATAAAACTTTTTCCCAAAAAGTGATGAGTTGGGTCAAGATTCAAAGGGGATTTTTCTGGCAGTGGATTTAAAAGATTACGGAAAAAACCAAGGGAATGAATGGGATTAAAAATATAGGAAAATTTCATTAATATCAGGAAGTGATAGGGAAGAGCTTGTTAATAATCTAGTTTCCAGCCTGTAATTATACAGTTTAGCACAGGACCACATAAATCCCTACCAAATATAAGGATGATTACTTGGGAGCAGAAGTGAGGAGACACTCTTTTTATGGTATTAGGTTGTACCTTAATTGATATAACAATGTAAAATTATCCATTTATAAGTCCAACCATGTAATTCATGTACATATTTTGGTATTTCTCAAACTGTTTAGGAAAGAGATTTGGTTTAACAGCATCATCAGTATTACTATTTTTACTTAAGTCCTCTCAGAGCCATTAATATGCAATGGGCTCTGTGAAACTCTAAGAGGAAGATACATAGCACATGCAATGTTTTGCAAACCAGTTGAACCAGAGCTGGGGTTTTTTGGAATACTTATTAATGTCATGCAGAATGTGTGAGCTGTGGGTTATTTGAGTTATATGAAACAATTTGGGAAAGGCAGATATATTTCTGTGTGAATACTTATAGTAAGTATATTACTTAAATATTAAAGATTATTAGGAAAACAATTTTTCATATTATCTTAATTAAACTACTTTAAGAGCTGATTATCTTTTAGTGGAACACACAAATATTTGGTTCTAGATAAAGTCTGAATTGTCATATTGAAACATCAGAATACAGCATAAATAAAATCAGGAGACAACGTTGAGAAAAGTTAAATAGGTTAAACAAACAAATATCAAAAACCAAAAGTTAGGTATGGTTATTAACTATTCACTGAAAATTGCCATGCATGTTGGTCACAAAGAAGTTATATTTCTTTTACTGCTGCCTTTAAAGCACTTCATGCCTCCAGCAGGTGTGTTCCTTTGTTCATCGAATTCCTAATGTTCTATTTTTATTGCATCTATATTTAATAAAGTTTAACGCCACCTTCTTCTCTCCACTTTTATCATGATTTATCTTTTTTTCATCTTTCTCTTCAAAACTTTCTTCAGAATATTTTTCCAGTTGAGGGTGACCACATTTTATCTGGTCATCTAAGACATGTTCAAACCTGTTTCATTACATGAGTTTTGCAAATTCAAAATCTTACTAAAACATTAAAAGCATATGACACTAATTATATCCTCACATATTTGTCATCCAATTCCAACCCAATGAGAACATTTAATCTGATATTATTAGAAGTGTAAAGAGAAGGCAGGGAGAGAGAAACCGACAGCAAAAGCTAAAGAGAGAGGAAACATTTTTGGACATCTCTACGATTGTCAGAGCCAAGAAAGCTGGCAGAATAAATCTTGATTGGGTTTGTAGACTCCCTAAATTTGCCTTTCATGCTTGTCAAAAAATGTATTCGCCATTAGCAATATGTCCTCATATATTGAACAAAACACTACATATTGTCTAACCTAGAAGTCAGAGCTGGTGAGTTTCTGACAATAGAGTTTTGTCCATTATGAAGGCCTGTGGAAGAAGATCATGGCTGAGTGACTTGATTCAAGGACTTGGTGGAAAACAATTCAAACATTCAGTTATATCACATTAAAGCCATCAAGTGGTTTAGCCAACTGGGCTAAGTCTACAGAGAAAGAGCAACAGTGAAAACTAGCTATGATACATCGCGAAGAAAAAATGCACATCATTCATTGACAGGGTTTTTATTATGTGTTATGGGTTTTTTTTTTTTTTTTTTATTTGTAGAGACTCATTCTTTAAATATTATCAAATGCATTGTGTTGCTATGCACTCCTATCACAACTTCCGACGGTGACTACAGAAAAATTCATATTACCTATTCCATGCCTCACAATTCTAAGAGGGTGCTCTCTTATGTTTCTACCCCACATCCCTTCCTGTGTGTGTGTAGATCAATAACTATCTATCCATACGCTCATATATACATCTCAACCTTCCCATCCATCCATTCATTCATCCTGACTATTCACCTATCTAGTGAAAAACTTTTCACATAAGTCATGATTTTACACTTTATTTCCTAAAATAAAGATTAATTGGACAATGCATTCTTTTATGATTTGTAATTTTATTTATATGATAGTAGAAAAAGATTAGCTATTGAGACTCATAAAAACAGATTACATAATTATATAGTAAGAGTTGACACAGACTCCATATGCAGTAATATTCTCCTCAAGTTTAGGTAATAATTAATGGTAAAAATTTCTAGAGCCAATATATTTTAAAGGATCATAATAACTGATACTTGTGAATTTTTCATTCCCTGTAAAAAGCAGACAAATATTTTCAATTTCAAATATTTCAAATAAAGTAGAAAACATTTCTACTGCTTTTAACTCATTTTCAAAATCTGGAAAAATCTGTCTTTTATGCATTGTGTAGTGGGATGATGATTTTATTATTGGTAATTTTTGGTTTATCTGACTTCGTCATACTTGGTGAACTGTTTGAACCAAAATCCTAGTAACATACAGATGCCACTACTTCGACATCATAATGAAAGTAATCATCAATTTATTCAGTTACATTGAGGGAAAAAAACTACCAGTAAAACCAGTTTTTCCCCTCAGGCAATCATATAAACACCTACACACAAGAGATATAGGTCTAAAAGTTAGAACAGTCCAAAATGTGTCTTCAAACATGTGATAAAGCCTCTTTATTTCTGCAACATTAAAAATAGGTTTATTTATGTAAATCATCATAACATATGCACTTAAATTCAATAATGTTATTTTAAATGGTCTTATAAAACAATACTGTACAGATATCCTTAAGATATTTGTATAGTTTCAACATAATTCTCTTTTTAATGTTTTTCCAGAAAAAAAATTTAAAAACAATTAAAAACACCAATACAATTAAAGCACCATGTCATAAATGAGGCAGGATTTCAGAAAATTAAACATTGGATTATGAAAAAGCACCTCTCATAATTTTTAGAAAAGTCAATGGAAAACAAACTCTGCATAATTGGGATACTACATTTCTTCTCATTAAAAAGCAAATTTTATTGTGATAAAAGGTAGACTGCAAGGGACAGAAGTATTTAACTAAAAAGTAATGCTATTAAGTTTAAAATATTCTAAGTCAAAAGCATTGAATGACAATTCTATCTCTATCACCATTTCCTGGACATAGACTTAAGCCATGATTTCTCATTAGGAGGAATACATGCAAATAATGTTTTGAGTTAAAAATAAATACAAATCTAATAAAAAATGAAGAGAGGCCAGGAAAAGAGAAATATAATACAAATTACCAAATAAGATTATTTTTATGTAATTGTTTGTAACTACAACTAATTTATAGTAATTTTGTTATATGCTCTGGACTAAAAGTTTTAGCCTTGTATATATCAAAATGAAGCATAGCTAATAATCAATGTTTAAATCCCTATGAGCTTGGTCTATTATCTGTAATCACAATTTTGTGAAGATTAAAGTTTTCCTTATTAATGTTTTCAACTGTAATTACATAATACTCTATCTTAAGTACTTTATCTTAAATATTATGCAAAGAATGTGTCAAAGGAAATAAAGCATAGTTTGC